CAGTAATAATAGCAGTTTAGTTTCATTAATACTCTTTTTTTTTATTAATTACTTGATTAATGAATTGCATCGTTGATTTTGTACATGTTGATCAATTGCGACATTGAGTATTCCCTAAACACAATAACCCACTAATAGAGCCTTTCGTGAGAGGTGGCAGCTGGCTCCAACATGTTTCGCATGCCTTTTCGAAAGATGACGACTACACATCACGAGTCAGACTTTTAGAACTACTTCACCAACTTTACTAGCGGCCACACTCGTTCAATCTATCAACTCATTTCTCAAGTAAAATAAGTCCGTTACTTCAAAATATTAACTACCACCAACTTCAAATGTTGACGAATTTTATTGCTCTTCCTAATAAAAATAACGAAACAAAACAAAGATGGGAAAACTTTTACACGTGTAACCGGTGTTAATAAGGAAAAGTTTATAATTAATGGGTCCAATATGGAAATATCTTGTTCACAAGGGGTCATTATGGAAAATTTCCTAATCATGTTCGGGTCGGAGCGGACCGGACCGGACCCAGTAAATTAGATGAAAAGCGGGTCGGGGAAATTTTCTCCCGTTGGGGTGCAATACCGTTGACGGTTGACCGTCATATATACGTCACTGAGCCGGATAAACAATTATTTTAGTACTTTGTATTATTCTTTCTGAGCCGGAGCCACTTAGGGCTTCGACACTCTCTTTCTTCGCCCCAAGAGAAAAAAATCGCGGCTTTTGATGGCGAAACAGCAATACGGCTACACAACCAGCACTTACGGCGGCGGCGGCAGCGCTACAACCAGCATCTACAAACCTCGATCCGCAGACACTTCGTTGCTTGGCGCTACTTCCAGGTACTTGAGCGACTCCCTCACCTCTTCATCCGCCATGTCATCATCAATGCTGTACGCCCCAGAGAGCTACTCTACTAGGATTCCTGGCGTGTCTGCGCACTCGCATGGCCCCCCTGGTGTGGATGCTGCGTCGACGGACGCGCTCTACAATGAGTTGAAGCGCGCTTCCACCGAATGTAAGAGATCCTTACCTTTTTTATTTTTTTATTTTTTTAAGTGAGTAATTGATCTGTTGCAAATTGCAATGCCCTAATTTACGCCAATTGTTTAGAAAATCCCTTTTTGTTTTGTATTCGTTTTATGAAGTTCAACTTGACTGCTCACTTGGTCAATTTATGACATTTCCATTTGATATCTGTCAATTGATGACGTAGATTACTCGCCTTCAACAATTCTCTTTAGCTCACAGTAGATGAACCGTAGTATTTGTATTATTCAGCTGGTATAACCGTAGCTGTCCTCAAACGATTGTGTGATCTCGTGAATGTATCATTATTGAAGGGGCTGAAGAGTCTTCTTGTGAGGAAAGAAAGATTAAGGTTATCTGTGCTTGATAAAATGTCGGCTTTTGTTGCTATGATATTTTCATAGGCTTTGAGCATACCGTCGTACATCACTAGAATATATAATCACCCTATGTAACGAATAGTTCCGTGGCCCATATTATGACTCAGAAAGTACTTATTATGTAACTAATGCTAATATAACGTGATTTCCTGTTTACCAAAGTGAAATCAGTTAGGAAATTGTTGCTACTTTTTGAGAGTTGTTATGTTACTTTTTATGTGTTATGTAAGAATTTGCATAAATCACTTCCACTTGAGCTGTTGTTGTGAAGGGGAGAATGAACTTTGGTACCAGATCAAGCCCGATTTGGGCATACTGATATAAGGCCGACCTACCTTTAAGCTCTTTGCATGCTTGAGTCAAGAAAATAAAGAAAATAACTGGAAAAGGTTGAAACCATCTCCTTAATTTGGAGAAGGTTTCTGTAACTAATTGATACACTGGTTCGAGTTGTTAAAGGATGAATGTAGGCAATCAATCTAAAAGAAGATATATGTATTATATTGCCATTGCTTTTGTAATCTTGTGTTCTCATGTCATTGATTTATAAGTTAAAAGCTCCGAAGGATTAAACCTCATAAGGTGTACAAATTCATTATACGAGTCACTGTCAGTGTGGTATTGTGACACTATTGACTATTACCTTAATTTATTGGATCTTATATATAGTTATGACTAATTTAAATATATACATATATATGGAATAGATATGTAATCAGCATTTGACGTTTGTGTCATCTGGTTTTAACTTACTCAGGTCTTAACAAGTTATCAGCGAGTAGAATTTGCCTATATTTCCGCCTACTATACAAATAATATCCTATTTATATAATTAATAACATATATGATGTGCTTTCTTGTATATGTGTCTACTATGTATTTAGCACTCTATCACCAGACTCTTTTGGATGCCCATAACAAGGGGCTAACTGAAGCTTGGTATTCGACAAACCCTTTAGCCAAGCGCCCTAGGTATGACAGTACGAGCCATTTGCCCGTTTACCCCCAGAGGCCTGGAGAGAAGGACTGTGCCTTTTATATGCAAACAAGAACCTGTAAGTTTGGAGAGAGCTGCAGGTTTGACCATCCTATTTGGGTTCCAGAAGGGGGAATCCCGGATTGGAAAGAGGTGATATTTTTTGCTATTTAATATATAGTAGTACCTTTTTTATAAGATTTTAATTTACAAATTACTTTGTACTTATAACATATTTTTACTTTCTAGTAGGTTCATGTGGTTACTAGTTAAGTAGTTTATGTTATAATTAGAAGCATCTATTAAATATATCCCTATGTCTATGGTGCATCAATTTATGTGATGCTCTATGCTCACCTATATTGTTTTATAGGCTCATAAATAGTATTGTAATCTAATAAGACATTATATTTTGTATCAACTCTACCTCATATTATTTACTTTCTCAAAATGATCTCCGAGTTCTTATTCTGAACAAAATCAAGTCTTGTAGTGTGGGATGTACTAGAATAGAACTCTAAGTTGATAACAGTGGAACCTATGTAAACTAGCCCCTTTTTTAATGAAACATTTTGTTGTATCCTCTTAAAAGGAACTTTTAACTCGGCTTTATATTCCTATCTTTTCAAACCTAATTGCGAGTCCACTTGTTTTTTACTATTGATATCCTTGTAGATGTATTTCTCTGACATTAGTAACTGCAATGGTTCTTTTCCATGTTGAATTAACAATATCCTCTGTGGTTCTAAGTAAAGGCTATGTTCTAAATTTAGTTTGTTTATGGTGGATCTTGTTTTATGTGTAGCTTTATTGATGAAAACCAGAAACAGTTTCATGGTGATGACTAATGACTTCCCATAGCAAAAGAGCATATACCTTTTCCTGTTATTACTTTCACTAAGTTCATCGGGCTGTAAATTGCTGACTTTGTTGCTTGACCATGAATCTAACTTGTTCTATTCATGTTAAAAAATGTAAATTTATCTTATGGTGTATGAATTTGTTTTTATGGGAAACATGTGTGCTGATGTTGCATAAGATTAAGGAAACACTATGGGGTGTTATTCGCAAATTTTGTTAGGTTTTCAAAGTTATTCAGTCTGAAGTTCTCCAGGGAAAGCATATTAATCAGGATACTCACTCACTATATGATGGTGAATAATCGTATTGTATTTTTTTTTTCCGATTCTTAAATATATCCTTACCAAAAAGATCTGAAATTTTTAAATGCAACAAAACCCTGATCATTGTGTTCTAACTTACACAAAATTGAAGACAAAAAAATCAAGTTCATGATTATGGCATGTAAAGAAAATTCTCATTCTGCCCAAGAATTCAGTGCTGAATTCTAGGCAATCAGAAACTCATGAAGTAAGAGTGTTTTGTTTGGTTGATTCTCTTGATGTTTGCTACATCTTTCACAAAATCACCCTACTTCTGTTTGTCAGAGAAACATCGCATGGATTCTTTATTTCGATGGCAATTATTAGAAGTTTTAGCAGTACTGCTATACATGCGTATTTGAAACAGTTTACTAGTCAAATTCACCAATCACATTAGATGCCTGTATTTTTGGTGCTCTCCTGAAAGCACAATCATCACTCACAATTACAGATTACTTAGTATCATTAATTAGTAGAAGTATGTGATTGCATTTCTCCACCTAATTTTAAATATGATTTTTCACCTTGGGGATATACTGGGATTGTCCTCCC